TTTTGCCTAGTTCCCTGGGCAGAAACATTTTGTTTTTCCTCTACTGTAAATGATATGAGTTCCAGTCCCAATTCTCTAAGAAAATTTCTTTGTGATATTTTGTACTTGTTAATTTTCTTTCTGAACTATCAAACTATTTATCCCTTGCATGTTTAGAATCAAGTAAAACACAACCATTGGCCAATGCTTTGTGTTTTGTGTGACATCAGAGTTGCAGTATAACTCATAACATTCCACCTCTGGTTCTGTTGTAGAAAGTTTCCATCTCAGGCTTCCATTTTGTTGAGGTTTCCCTATCAATATTTCCATTATGGTGCAATGTCGATATCAGCAGTACCAGTTTGTTTTTCTTTGTCATTCACAAGGCCAGTGTAAATCTTTCTGAAATCCAAAGATTGTACTATACAGTTCTCTGTTTAGAAATTGTAATATTTCATTTGGAAATAGTCTGTGCTGGTCAACTTGTGCCCTGTTAGTAAATGTAACATCAACTAGAAACTGGTAAACAAATTGTCAAATGTCATGTTCTGATTAGTTTGGGAGATGGGAGCAACAGGTCTATTTACAACATCATCTGGTTTATTACTATAAGACTAAGGATTTGATGGCTGAGTTCCAGTATAAATGTCTAAATTGAAAGCATAGTAAGGCTTTGCATCTACAAGGGCATAAATTTTTATGCCATATTTTGACCCATCACTTTTCCATTAAGTCTTTTACTTCCTGCAATTACCCTGAGAAATCCCTGCTAAGTACGGCAGACATATGAATGCTTTCAGTTCAGCTAGTGAGGTGTCATAATATATTTTTTAATATGGCTATTGCTGCATACAGAACATTTTACCTGCATTTCCGCCTTTGTGTATTTCACAGCATCTTGTAGCATTTTGTTACAATTTCCAAGCTGAATGGCAGGGCTGGCTTTCTGTCCAATATGTTTCACCTCTGCCAAGACCCTCACTATATTTTTGGACCTAGTTCTAACATTGGATTATTCCATTTTGTTGTGTGGCCATCATTTCAACTAGTCAAATACGTACTCACTTTGCTGGGGATTTTTTTGGTACTGGGGATCGAACTTGGGTCCTTGTGCTTACGGGGAAGACAGCAGAACCAGAGCTAAATCCCCAGCCCTTCACATTGCTGTTTTTTTCATCAAGGAGGTCTGGATTCTCTGTGTTTGTATCAGTCGATTCTTGTTCCATTTCACTGTCACAGGAACTTTGGCTCATGTGTCAAAGTCGTCGTCGTCATCATCATCGTTGTCATCATCACACACACACCACTCTTGTTATGAAAACACGTATTTTACCATAATGGATCATCTTCATCATCCATGCATGAGTAACTTGATGATTCAATTCTGACCTTCTCCAAAACTTGCAAATCTGGTTTTTCATGTGCCATCGTAATGAATTGGGCTACTTCTACCAGAAAAATTGAAAGAAAACTTTTTTAAAAACAAATCCTGGAGTGGTGTGAGTCTAATTGGACCCTCTGTGAAGCTCATTGATAAACATATACACAAAACCAGTTAGACCATAACGTGGGTAAAAATCCTGTTTTGCCACTTTTGCACACACTTGCACACACCTTGCCATCTGTCATACCAAGTGGGTAAACACATAGATTGCTTCCTGTATCCCTCAGGGAAAGGTACTGAGATACACAGTCAGCTACTATTACACCAAAGTACAAATTTACAGTAGAAAAGTAAGGGATGGGTCCACTGGACCTGGGTCATGCTTGGGGGGATACCTGATTCTTTCACCCAGCAATCTCTTTTTTTCTCCCAAGTACCAGGGATCCAACTCAGGACCTTGTGCTTGCCAGGCAAGCGAGGTGTCACTGAGCTACATCCCCAACCCAGCAATTTATTTTGATGAGTGTTCAGTCTCAGCGCATGAGTCTCTATCTTATTTTTTTTTCTTTTTCTATCTTATTTTTTATGGCTGTATAGTATTCTGTCATAATTTGTTTGTGGCTCTCTGTGAATGGACACTTTTTTTTTAATGAGGACTAAATCCAGGGCTTTTGTACTGAGCCACATCTCCAGACCCCCCCCCCTTTTTAAAGGATTATGTTTATTTGTTTGTTTGTTTGGTACCGGGGATCGAACTCTGGTCCTTGTGCTTGCGGGGCAGGCGGCAGAACCACTGAGCTAAATCCGCAGCCCCCTCCAGACCCCTTTTTAAAATTCTGAGACAGAATCTTGCTAAATTGCTAACTTGCTCAAGCTGAGCTGGAACTTGCAATCCTCCTGCCTCAGCCTCCCAGACTGCTGTGATTACAGGCGTGCACCAAGTCCATCTGCTATTCCAAATAAGCAGCCATGACTAACGCTGGAAATAAGTAATTTTGCATACTTGTTAACACACCTGTAGGGAAAACCCCTACAAGTGCAGCTGCTGGGTGTTAATGTAACCCCAAGAAATATTGTTAGAGAGATAGAACACACTTGAGGTGTTCATCCAAAAGATGAACCTCATGCCCAGCATGGCAGTGTGATCTGGGTGAGGAGGCAGAACCAACTGATAAAAAGCAGGAGCCTGGGAACCCCACAACAACCGGGAGGATCACAAGTTCAAGACCAGCCCAGGTAACTTAGCACAATCCTGGATCAAAATTAAAAAATAAAAAGGGCTAGACCATAGCTCAGTAGTACAGCACTTGCCTACCATGCAAAAGACCCTGAATTTAGTCCCTAGCACTGTCCCAGAAAAAATTTTTTAAAGGCTACACCCACTAGGCCCCTCAGCCCTTCTCAGCTCTGGCTCTGAAGTTCTTTCTGGTCCCAGGGCAGGGGAAGGCGGACAGAGACCGAGTCACCACAACACCACCTCTAATTGGCCTCCCTAGGTGAAGGCACCAGTGTGCCAAGGAGACATGGGCAGGCCTGGCAGGGAGGGATGGGACAAAGAGCCTGAAGGCCACCAGGTTCCCTCTAGTCATCCCAGGTGACAGAAAAGCAACTCTTGCTACATCCTGTGCAAAAGCTGCAGGGACATCCCAGCCATGCAAGACACTCTAGTTCTGTGACATTCTGTTGCCTGTTCCTGGTCCTGTTACATAATTCATATGACAGCCATCACCACCTAAGCATTGCCCTTCCAGCCAGTGGTGTGTGAGGGACGGAGGCAATCCCCAGAAGGAATGTGAGTGTCCCTTGAGTGAGGACAGCTCAGGAGGTGCAGCATGTAAGGTGCAACTCCCTTCTGCCTCCCTAAATCAGGCCCAGCTACTGACAACTGTGGATGAAAAAAAAGGGCTTCTGCCCCCACCCGAGTGGGAGACACCTTTTAAAGAAGGAACCCTGTCAACCTTCCCATCTCCGCCCAAGCTCTGAGCCCACTGCTTGGGGCAGCTAGGAACTCAGAACAGCAAAGCATGCTTAACTATGGAGGTTATGATACAAAAATCCTTCTAACTCATGCACAGTGCATTAATAGTTCTTCACAAAGCAAAGACACATTGTTTTGGTAAATCTAGATTTTCCTATGTCCATCTGTTTAAATCCCACTGAGAAACCTGCAAAGCTGCATCTCCTCCTCCTGGAGGTGAGGCTCTAACCAGTGCCTGTGCCTCAGTCCACTGTGTGCACACCAGGTGGTCCCACTACCTGGAAACCCTCCCCACCTCTCCCCCACCAACCTCTGCTGTCCACACAGCCCCAGCTCAAGTGCCATCCAGACCACCTCAAAGAGAGCAGACTGCTGCCTTCTGGGGCGCTCACAGTTTTGACCAGAATATGCTGGACTTTCCAGTGGACAGGGGACTCTTTGGGGTGGCCACTCAGGACAGGGAAGGCCAGAAAGTCTGTTGCTTTCTTTCCCAGGTGGTCGGCAATTTTCCCTTCTGAGCCTCAGGCTCTCCACCTACAAAGTAGTAATAACAATTCCAAGGTCCCCCAGACCAGTGGGAGGATAAAATGAAAGGACACACGTGAAATATCAGTTTCAAAGCCCTACACAAATTCCAGTGAAGACAAAATTAAGGTAATTAGTTGCTAATATTAATTGAATAGCCTTGCACACACCCTTTGTCAACACCTATCATTGTGCCTTGCAGGTATCCAAAATGATTGCTGATGAGATCTCAGACTCATCGCTCATTCTAGATAAAATAAAATCCACAGCTGCAGGAGGCAGAGAGCAAGAGGATCTGATGTAGATTCAGGGTTAGTGGTTCGCTAGTTATTTTTCTGTAAATGATGACCCACAGGGCTTCAGGAACAGCCTCGCCCAGCAGAGAAGGAGTTCTCACCCACTTGCCAGCAGGGCAGGGCCTCCCTTGGTGCAGGCTGTCCATGGGGATTGCAGCAGGAGGAAAATAAAGGTACCATATGTCCCTCAGGGTGGAAAGGCTGTCTGACCTGAAAATCTGTTCAGGGTGACAGATGCAGTAACTTGCAGAGTTCTCACTCCACCACTTTTTTGGGGCAGGAGGCAGCCATCCTGGAACCCACTCTGATGGCCAGGTGAAAGGTCCACAGATCAGGGCTTCCCAGTGAGGAGACCAGCCTCAAGGGGACCGTGGGTTAGAAAAGAAGACTTACAAGTGTACTCTGTGTGGACACGTACCTGATCTCTTCCCTCTGCAGTCAGTCATGTGACATGCTCACTCTCCAAAGCAGCTCCTAGCAGTAGGGGCTCAAGGTTGGCTATCCCAGGACCTCACCTGAGCCTTACAACATGAAGATGTTGGCAGAGGGGTATGAGGAGCCCCCACTGAGGGGATGAAGCTCACAGAGGACAAGTGATTTCCACAGGTCTTCCTTCACCTGGATTTCTGGCTAGGCCAGAGCCCTGTGTACTACTCAGCCATGGTGCCATCCTGGAAAAAGGTTGGGGACCTCATCTTTCCTGCAGAGAACTTGAAACAAGTCCCCAGGGCTCTGATTAGGATTACTTTTTTCTATCTGTAGCTGATTTTTTAATTTCATGAGTAAATGCTTATGACCTGGGGCGTTAAGTGAACAATGACATAACACAAATTCATACCTAGAAAGAACATGTTCCCAAGCTTCAACAGTGACTATTTCTTGACTGTGAAATCGGGGTGATATGTATTCTTATCCCAACCTTTTCTGTGTTCCAAATTTACTGTAATCAACAAATACCATGTTTAACAGCAGAGCAGCCTGCAAAACTGTGATCTACACCACCAAATTCTCCCTGAGTCAATATGCACTTTGTGATGTGTGACTTTTTAAAAACAATGTAGAGCTGGAAGTGACGCAGGTTAGGCACAAAGATTTTCTGGGTGGGATCTTCCCCCTCTGGTTTCCGCTCCCAGAAGAAGGAAAAGGGGGTGTTTGACAGGCTTCCTGTCTCTCTGCAGGCGCCTGCCCCAGCGAGACTCAAGCTCCAGCCGCTCTGGATGATACCTCAGTCCAAACAAACAATCCTCTTCTGATCATCCTTAACATTTGTCACTTTTCAAGAATAATTACAGCTATATCCAGATCCAAGGATATTAATGCAAGGCCATTAACCCATCTAAGTGTTCATTTGTTCAGTTGAAAACTATTTCAGCACCTACTCTGCACCAGGCTTCATTGCAGACATAGAGCCACTGTTAACTGAAGACTGGAAAAGTCACCAGTGGAAGTCATGAACCACTTTACCATGTTTTGCCCAAGTGGGGGTTCAGCCACATCAGCAGGCAGCAAATGGCCATGGGAAGAGATAATGCCCGATGCCAGCTCCTCTGCTCCCTCTGTATGTGGTTTTTCTTCTCATCAGCTCTTTGGAGAAGCAGAGTTGGAAGAAATGTGCCTGTTAACAATGCAGCAGTCTTCACCACCTGGTAACCAGATTGCACCTACGTGGCAGAGGTGGAGATGATGGGAGGGAATAAGAAAATATGAAACTTGGGGTGTCCATCCAGTTCTCACCATGGCCTCCTTCTGCCTTTTCTGGCCTCTCTGAGTCTGGGATCACAGTCAATGAAGATTTATTTTGGACCTGCTAGGTGCTGGGTCCAAGGCACACAATTTTTCAAATAGGAACTCAGGTCTTTGCACATGATGTTCCCTTTGCCTGGAACCTACCTGACCATCCTTTCTACATGGTGAACTCCCCCCCCCACCCCCCCCACCCCCAATAATATGGCCTCAACCCAGAGCCTTTGTACTGAGCTATGTTCTCAGCTCTTTTTTGGTGCTGGAGATTGAACTCAGGACCTTGCACTTTCGAGGCAGGTGTGGTGCCACTGAGCTAAATCCCGCGCCCCCTCAGCCCCCTTTTTAAAGACAGCATCAGTAAGTTGCTAAATTGCCCAGGCTGGTCCTGAACTTGCAATCCTCCTGCCTCAGCCCCCAGAGTGCTGGGATTACTGTAACTAGCTCACATGGTGACAACTTAACTATTACCTCACCAAAAAAGTGTCTGCCCAGTTAAGAATGACTTAATGTTCCCTCAAAGAAAGCACCATGACAACTGTAACTGTCCTGTGTTTGATGTCTCTTTCCCCAGCCAAACTCAACTCCCCACACACTACTGGCTCACAGGACTATGAGACTCTCCTAAATAAAGTAAGCATCATAGTAAAATAAGGTCATAGTAAAAGCTGGTGTACTGAGGATGTCCCATGCGCCAAGTCCCAAGTAGAGTTAGCTCTGCATCAGTACTCTCACTTTAGAGATTAAGAAAACCATATCATCCCTGCTCCTAGTTTTAAAAGACAAGAATTAGAAGCTGGGTGTGAAGGGCTGGGGATTTAGCTCAGTGGTTCTGCCGCCTGGCTCAAAAGTACAAGGTCCTGAGTTCAATGCCTGGTACCAAAAAAAAAAAAAAAAAAAAAAACACAGAAAAGAAGCTGTGTGTGGTGGTGCATGCTTGTAATCCCAGCACTCGGGAGGCTGAGGCAGGAGGATCACCATGAGTTTGAGGCCAGCCTGGGCTACATAGATCAGGGCCAGCCTGAACTACAAAGGGAGACCCTGCCTCAAATAAATAAATAAATAAAAATAAAAAAGAACTAGAACCTGGTAAGTAACTTGTCCAAGGATACAAGGCTAATAAAAGCAAGGATTTGAACTGCATCTCCTAATTCTCTCTCCAGGTCATAAGAAGTGCTTGGCTCATTATCTCCTCTCCCTCCTGCTGCCAGGGCCCCAGTGATCATTTTGACCCTTCCTAAATTCTCTAGCTCCTATCCCACACCCAGTTCCAATTTCCACCCTCACATCCTCTTCCCATCAGTTCCCACAACCCTCCCTCAGCTGCACTTTGACAGCACTCACACTAAGTCCCCAGGGGTACCTGTCCTACCCCATAGCCTGCAGCCCTGCAGGGAACAAGGTGGGACTAGCATGTGGCTGCATCTTCACAGTGCAGGACCTTTGGTAAGCTTACAGGTGAGACCCAGTAATTTAGACCCAGCTTTCTTGCCTCCAATCCTGGCTCTGCCCCTCCCCTCTGCCCATACTGCAGAGCCAATGGCTGGGGGTGGAGACCATTAACCACAGCTCCCAAAGGCTTCAGATGGCACAAGAAGTCAGTGGGACCCCCACAACCTGGGAGAACCAGGAGAACTTCAGTCTAATAAAATAAGTTACAGCTCAGTGGAGCCAACTCATGGCAGACAAGAAACCAGGTGTAAAGCAGACACCCTGACAATGGCAGCTCCAGAAGCCTGGCCTGCGGCTCATGGACCCTCAGACCAGAAGCTGCTGGAAGAAGAGAAAAGGCAGCAGATTAAGAGGACACCAGGGACCAGAGGGAAAGCAAAGAGGAGGGAGGCAGGTTTTCTTGGAGTTACGGCAGGAATGAAGGAAGAAAGACACAGGATGATGACACTGCTTCATGACACACAGCTGAGCCTGTTGCTTCCTTCTGGAAACTTTCAAAGGCTCCTTGTTGACCACATTGAGATCAAGTTGAAAATCCCCAGCAAGACCTTCAGAGGTCTCACGACTTGGGCCATGGCAGCCACATCTGAGCCATGAGGCTTGTCAGGCCTCTACATCTATCTGCCCGGAGTTCCCTCTTACCAGAAACCCCTTCTTTTCCCCCACGGATCTAGTACCCCCATCCTTCAAGTCCAAGAAGACATCTGACACACCCCAGGTCAGTGAGAGAAGAGCCTGGCTGAGGTCAGACCAGCTCAGCTTTCTATGGATAAGGTGATGGCCCCACCTTTTGGGTGGTAGGAAAATGAAAAAGTAATTCATGAAAGCACTTTGAGGCCAGGCATAGTGGCACATGCCTGTAATCCCAGCACTTAGGAGGCTGAAGCTGTGAGTTCAAGGCCACCGTAAACTAATATCAAGATCGTGTCTAAAAAAACAAAAAACAAAAATAAAACAAAACAACAAAAAAAGAACACTCTGAACTGTGTCTGGCACACAGTAAGTGCTCAATAAATGAGCTGTTGTTTCTAATGTCCTTGGGGCCCATTTAGGGCCCTCTGTCTCTACCACAAGTAGCACACTGTCCTGTGGTGTTTGTTACACACTGGATCCCTCAGCCAACCAGAGCCTTTTCAAGAGACTGACCCACTTGTCTAGCCTCTCTTCCTGAGACCCCACAAGGGCAGAGTGTGCACTAGGTGTCCAGCAAGCGCTGGCCACCTGCAGGCCTTGGCTGAGGTCCTGGTGCAGATCCCACCCTCACCTCCCAGGGCCCAGCTGCAGGCCTCCCAGAACTTACCCTCCAAATCCCCAGTCTCACTCTGGCTGCTGCTCGTTTTCAAAACAATAAAGGCTGTACCCTGCCTTGCAGAGGCCGTTTCTACTCCAGGGAATGTATGGAGAGAAATGAGCACAGGAGGGACTGGAAATAGCACTGAGCCCCTCTCAGGGACAGGGCTGGGCAGGCCAGCCAGCGACCAGGTGCAAAACCTAAGACAGAGCAAGTGGGAAAACAGAAGCCTCTGGACAGAAGCTGGAGCCCACAGAACAGCCAGCATGAGTGAACCAGGACAAGCGGGTCTCCCCTATTATCCTGTAGGGAAGCTGTTCTTCCACCTGGATGGAAGGATTTAGAAGGTCTCTTTGTACAACCTACCACCACCACAAGGGCACCTTACAAAAGCCAGGCCTGGTGGTACATGCCTGTAATCCCAGCACTCAGGAGGCTGAGCCAGGAGGATCACTGCAAGTTCGAGGGCAGCCTGGGCTACATAGTGAGTTCAAGGACACCTGGACTACACAGTGAGACACTGTTTCAACCCTCCCCCAAAAAAGAGCACCGTAGATTGCCTAAGCCTCTTGGGGGTTGTTATAGTGCCTGCCCAACCTACAACAGCCACTCGGAACTCCAGTCTGGACTGGGGCCACTATGTCCCTGGGAGACCCCAGAAGGCAGACACAGGTCCCATTCATCTTCATACCTCTTCAACCCTAGCATGGTGCTTGGCATGTAGTAGATGCTCAGTAAGTTACAACCAACAAGATATGGCGGCAAGGGAGAGACCAAGTCAAGGATGACCCCACCTGGGCCTGCCCATATCATGGTCAAGAAAGTCAGGAATTTCCTCAAAGCCTCAGTTTCCCTCTTCCACAAACAGGGGTAACAACAACAGTTCTCACATAGCTGATGTAGAATGAACTGGGAAAGTATTCAAGGAAAGCACAAAAGCCTCAGAGGAATGTCAGCCACCCTTCCGGCTTCAGCTCAGTTGTCCCTTTGTGCTGGAGGCTTTTTCCGATGGCCTCGCTCCCCCTGGCCCAGCAATGAACCCACCTCTGCACTCCGGTTCCTTTGTTTTGTGTTTTTCACATCACTTGTTTCCAAGTCTGATTCCTCCACCCACCTGAGAGCCCTCAGATGCCTGGGACATCCGCTGTGTGTCTGTGTCCAATTTGGGTACACAAACCCGGCTGCTAGTGCTCTCCTACCCCCTGGTCAAAACCCTGACACCCACAGCACCCTGGACAAGACACTCAGGAGCAGAGCCCAAGAACCCACCCAGTATGTGGACAAGGAGCTCGGGAAGGGGCGATGCAAACACAATCTGCCAAGGTCACACCTCTGAGACCTTGGTCTCTGCAGGTATAGGTGAGCTTGTGTGCCAGGTTGTCGGCAGCACACCAGCCTCCAGGGCACAGATTGCTACTTCTTGCCTTACATAAAACACCCAGCACTCAGATAAATAATACATGGCCTTCACCTCACACGCAGGTATCAGGCAGGCAAACACCTGCTTTGCCCCATGATGCCCTGGAACGGAGGGAGGGGAGAAATGTCTAGCCTCTGACAAACCTGAGAGAGAATGTGGCCTGGGAATCCATGCCCATTCCCCAGCTGCCCTGCCTGGGCATGGCCTGGAGCCACCTAGCACTGATGCAAGTAGAGCAAGCAAGGAGCCCAAGGGCGTGCCTAGGAAAGAAAGCAGAACAAGCCACAAGACACAGGCACCTAAACGAGCTTCTGCGGTCCCTTGGAGGCAAATATCCCTGGAGCCCTAGGCTGCTGTCCGTCCTCTCCAAACACGCAGCATTGGTCAACCACCGTCCCGGGTCGCCGCCGCGGCGCAGGGCATGGATGCCTCCCTCTCGCCCAGCCGCCAGCACACCCTCCCGGCCGCACGCACAAGGGGCCTGTCCATCCTCCGCTCCGTCCCCGCCCCCCCCCCATGGGCAGGTCCGATT